GTTGTTGAATATTCTTGGTTGTAGTGATTGTCTGTTTGCTAACTGATGCTCTACGTTCCTCCTTGCCTGCTCCCGTTTCATGACGTTGGTCGTCGTAGTTGGCCGTTCATCGTCGATCTATGCTGTCGTAAGTTGTGGTGGAGGTCATCGACGCTAGCGGTGGTTATTGGTCGTCTTTTCGTAGTACTATAGTAGTTGTAAGTCGTAGTCGATCATCGTCCCGTTGTCGTCATTTGTTATTATATTTTTTTACTGTTGACAGCTGGTGTTGTGGTTTTTGTTTCTTGTATTGCAGGTTTAGCGCAAGTTCTCGCTTGTTACTGCAGGGGGTTGGTGGGATGAATGTGATCATGGCATTGTCCTGTTGGGCGACATGGCGAAGTTGTTCTCACGGACATGGTTGGTGCTGGTGGTGGTGGTGGTGGTGGTGGTGGTGGTGGTGGTGGTGGTGGTGGTGGTGGTGGTGGTGGTGGTGGTGGTGGTGGCAAGCATGCAACCTTGCACACCGTTGTACACCGTTGTACACCGTTGTACACCGTTGTACACCGTTGTGCTACGTTGTTCGTGTGTTGTGTCGTGAGATTGGTGAGTGCCACGGGAGCTCACGCCGCTGCCTTTGTCTGGTCAGTCGCGCTGCACGACCTGGGACGATGCAACCCAGTGCCCGTTCGGCTGCTCCTCGGTGGGTGTGTTTGTGTTCGCATGTTTGACTCTGTGTGTGAGTCAGTGAGTGAGTATACTTGTGTTCTTGCCTGTGTGCATATACACCCGCATTTGCGTGCTTGCTTCCCTGCCTTTGCAATCTCTACTGTGTTATCCTCTGCACGCTCACGCCCCTCAACCCCCAAATACCACCACCTCATCTTCGCGACCTCAAATGCATCACCACCAGGCCGTAAACGAGATTGTGGACGATCTTGGCTGCTGCTTCCACGCCATGGAGGCCCTGCACACAGCTCTCACAGCAACACCAGATGGTGTGAACACTCATACACGTTGGCTGCGCGTGTGTTTGTGTGTTTGTGGGTATGTGTGCTGTGCATGTGTTCATGTAAGCTTCTTGCTGTCTCTTACTCCACCCCAAGCAACACACACACACACACACATACACACGCACGCACAGACACACACACACACACGCTCATTTCTTCACACACTTGCCGGCCGCAATGGCTCTTGCTGCTGTTATTTGTTGGTGTCAGCAACGAGCAACCTGTTTGCCCGGCTGTCGTTCTTGTCTGACTCGTGTTGTGCACGCCAGAGGTCTGCTTGCCAAACCACATTCGACCCATCCTGCGACCACCAAGACCAGACGGTATGTGATATTGTGTGTGTCTGTGTGCGCGTGTGTGTGTCTGTGTCTGTGTCTGTGTCTGTGTGTACGTGTGTGTGTGTCTGTATGTAAACGCTTTGTGCTATTGTTCTACGTCCTGCGCATTAGGTATCACGGCCCATCTCCTCCCCCATCATCCTCATCATCCTCATCCTCATCCCTGCTGCTGCTGCTGTAGGAAACGCTGTCGGTGACCATTGCCAGCCCGCCGTTTGCTTGGATTCGTGATAACCAAGACCGTAAGAAATCGTGTTGTTGTTGTTGTTGTTGTTGTTGTTGTTGTTGTTGTTGTTGTTGTTGTTGTTGGCGTTGTTGTTGTTGTTGTTGTTGTTGTTGTTGTTGTTGTTGTTGTTGTTGTTGTTGTTGTTGTTGTTGTTGTTGTTGTTGTTGTTGTTGTTGTTGTTGTTGTTGTTGTTGTTGTTGTTGTTGTTGTTGTTGTTGTTGTTGTTGTTGTTGTTGTTGTTGTTGTTGTTGTTGTTGTTGTTGTTGTTGTTGTGTACGATTGGCATGCCTACGCCGTGTACATACACACACCCCTCCATTTCCCTCCTGTCTACACGCCTTGTTCACTTTTACCACCACAACCCCCTCGTCCTCTTCGTCACCTCTTCCTGCATTGCAGTGTTCAACACCGCGTTTGTTGCCGACATTTCCGCCACGCTCGGTGTTCTCCAGTCGTCTGTCACCGTCACCGGTTTCCAGCAAGTGGTGAGCTGCTCAACCCTGTGTTGCAGGTCGTCATATCATTGCTGCGACTCGTGTTGCCATTGGTGATGACATTGCTATTGTGACAGCTGTTGTTGCACTGCCATTGCTGCTGTTGTTGTTGTTGCTGCTCCTCTTGCACCTTCTCGCGTACTAACGACTGGGCGATGGCCACGGCCTTGCCGTCATTACCACCCTAATCACAGAGCCAAGGGGTGACTGTTTCCTTCCAGGTCGCATCTGAAACGACCACACGGCTGCAAAAGGTGCGTGCATAAGTGTGTGTGTGTGGTGTGTGTGTGTGTGTGTGTGGGTGTTTGTGTGAACGTCCTTGTCCTTGCGCCAACGGTGGTTGAGTGACGACAAATGGTGTCATCTGCCACTCGTGTGCAACTTCTCACAATTCCTACTTTCTTATCAACACATGCACCCGTTCCGCCCCCTTCATGAACGTGTGTGTATGTGTGTGTGTGTGCAGATTGAGGCCGAGTTGACGGGCGTGATTGCTCGCGATAGTCTCTCCCTGTGGAACACCGCCGCTGCATACACCACGCGCTGCGATTCCGTGAGTCCATCAATGTTCGCGTGCATCATTTACAAATCTTGCACGCACACACACACACACACACACACACACACACACACACACACACACACACACACACACACACACACGTGCACTGCCGTGTTGACATCGCCAACGTATCACTCATGCCACTGTCTCTCTCTGCTTTGCATTGCTTTGCATTGCCCTTTGCTCAGACGTGCACGAGCGATGCAACCCACACGGCTGCCAGCGGGCTTGTCATTCTGACCATTCTCCTCTTCACCAATCTTACCTTCATCCTTTGAACACAGACTGTGTGTGTGTGTGTGTGTGTGTGTGTGTGTGTGTGTGTGTGTGTGTGTGTGTGTGTGTGTGTGTGTGTGTGTGTGTGCGTGTGTGCATCTGTTTGTTTGTAGCCCACCCCCTCCCCAATATTCCTGTGCGTCTCTCCGTGGTGTTGCGTGGCTTATTTCCTTTTCCCTCTGTTTGGCTTTACATTGCATTACGTGTGCGTGTGTTTGTGTATTGATGACGGGCAGCTGCAGCCGACTCTGTGGACATGAGGCGGGCTGTGGCGCCTTACCCCCCATCGTTCCTTGCGCTCGTTCTTCGTCCCGCCCTTCCTCTCCAGTCGCTGGTGTTGGGTTGTTTACTGCGGGCTCATCGTTTGAGTGATAATGGAAGGGCACAAACGAGCAAACAAGCAAGCAAGACTGCCCGCACGAACAACATGACCTGTCACCACTATCCATCGAACCTACGACACAACACAACACAAACACACACCACGTTACAACACGCACACAACACATTACCACAACACAACACCAACACACACCACGTGACAACACGCACACAACACGCACACATCACAACACCAACACATCACAACACCAACACACAACACAACACATCACAACGACAACTGAAGCAACACAAAGGCTAGCTGAGGAAGCGCAAAACAGATGCGTCTGTCTTGTTGGGGGGTTTGTACAAAAAGAGAGTGCAACGCACGCACCGCAAACATATAGAAGTGACACAAAAAGTTGAGGTCAACAGGACAAATACACAAGTACACAAACACGTGTACACGCATGAACACATTTAACAGCACGACGACGATTCCCTTCTTTGCTTCTTGAGGTCGACGGTGTCATCAAAGTCTGGGGCGGCTTGGGTGCCGTGTTGCAACAGCATCCGCGCTGCTTGTTGGAATGCGTCCTCCACGTTGCTACCAGTCTTTGCGCTCGTCTCATAGTATGGCACGTTGCCGTTTTCCCTGCACCATGCCCGCGCAGCCTCTGCGGTGACCTGCCGCTGCTCTGCGAGGTCGGCCTTGTTTCCGAGGAGCAGAAACGGGAATGCGGCGACGTCGTCCACGCTGGCGTGCTTGAGGAACTCGTCCCGCCACATGTTGATGTTGTTGAAGGAGTTTGGGTCTGTGAGGTCGAAGGTGAGCATGCAGCAGTCTGCGCCGCGATAGAACGGGGTGCGCAAGGAGCGGAAGCGCTCCTGCCCGGCTGTGTCCCAGATCTGCATGGTGATGGCTTCGCTGCCGACGCGCACGTCCTTGTTCAGCACCTCCACGCCAATGGTGTGGAAGGACTCCGAGTTGAATTCGTTGCGCACAAACTGCTGCATGAGCGACGACTTCCCAACGCTGCCATCCCCAAGCAGGATGACTTTAACCATCCGCGTGCTTGATGCCATGGCTGGGCCCAGACACGACGGTGAAGCAAGAGGGAGGGAGGAAAGGAGGAGGTGGTGGTGGGGGGGGGCGCAAGGAAGAGGGAGGAGAGAAGGTGTGTGGATGTTTGTTTGTTGTTTGTGGTCAGTTTCAAAACAACAGTATGCGACAGCATGAAATTACACTTCCACTGAACACACACACACACACACACACACACACACCACACACACACACACACACACACACACACACACACACACACACACACACACACACACACACACACACACACTCACACACACACACACACACAGAGCGCACGACGAGCATGGCGGATGCGGTGAGGCACGACCTGCGGGTGAAGCGACAGCTCTACACCCTCGTCATCAGGTGAGCTGTGCGCTCTCGCAGCAAAGCAAATTATGTGTGTGTGTGTGTGTGTGTGTGTGTGTGTGCAGAGTTCTTCTCACTGGAACATGGGCACTTTAAGAACGCGTGCGCCCAGAGTTCTTCAGTGGACCTTCAACGTTCGACACACTAGCACTTTCGCAACACACACACACACACACACATTCACAATAACGCACACACAACACAAACACACAACATACAATGTTCGCTGGGCTCCAGCCAACTGCTGTTGGACGGACACACACAGGCAGCGCGCGCACTCAAGACATCCTTGGGTTTTGATCGGGACGTGGCACCGTCCAGTGAACTCCTCGACACCTTCACAGAAGTGGCCAGTGATGACCAGAAGCAGCTCGTGTCCTCCATCACAACCGCTGCCCCTGGTGCGTCAGGTTTGCCACAAAGTGTTGCAGCCGGTGGTTGTATTGATTGCGTGCGAAATGTGTGGCGCTCAGTTGTGCGACACATAGATGAGCTTGCGTGCGACGCCTCTCACCTTTCGCTTTGCTTTGCCTGTTCATCTGGGCCATTGCAACAACAGGACCGGGCCTCCAGTTTAAGAAGGAAGTGGAACCTGCCTCTGTCAAGGCAGACTACATTGAGACGCTCACGTCGCCACTCACTGGCATTTGCAACTGCGGTACAGTGTGTGTGCGTGTGTGTGTGTGTGTGTGTGTGTGCGTGTGAGTGTGTGTGTGCGTGTGAGTGTGCGCGGGGGAGGGGGCTTTTCGTGCTTGACACAGCAGGCTTTTCTCCACGTTTGCTCTTTTTGCATTTGCGTCTCTGCCCGCCAGCTGCCTCGTGTGCTGCTTGCTTGCTCACATGAATGTGCTTGTCGTGCTTGCAGCGGGGTTCTCAAAAGACGGCCAGCTGGTTGCAATTGGATGCCAGGATGGCTCTGTACGCGTGTTTGATGTCCCTGCCTCCATTGCCGAGGGCAAAAACACCACCACTTCCACGGTCCTGTGCAAGATGATGGACGTTCGCACGCCCATCTTTGCTGTCGCCTTTCACCCCAGCGCCAAGCTGCTTGTCGCAGGATCAGTGGTGCGTTACTGAATGTGTGCGTGTGTGTGGTTGTGCGTTCGTGTGTTCGTGTGTGTGTGTGTGTGTATGTATATGTATGTGTATGTCTGTGTGTGTGTGTGTGTATTCTGTGTCTGTGTGTGTGTGTTTCTGTGATTGCAGCGCTGTCAACGGTTGCGCTGCTTCTCCACGTTGCTCTTCTGCCTGGTTGAAGGTCTTTCCGACACAATCATTTACGCACACATTCGCACACATTCGCAAACATTCGCACACACGCGCACACACTACCTCCGTGTACAGATGGGCATGTACGTGTATGACATGTCAGACAACGTCGAGCCAAAGAAGTACATTCATCACATCGAGGTGTGTGTGTGTATGTGTGTGACAGGATGTGTGGGGCGACACTGGTAGTGGTGGCAGCGGCACCTGTTGCTGCTCGCTGTGGTGGCAACGATGATGATGCGTAGTTGATGTCTGTCCTCACCATGATCCATGGCTCCCTTGTCATTGTGCACGTGGTGGTGACATGATGCCAGGACTATTTCCAGACGAATGCGATTGACTTCCACCCATCTGGACAGTACCTCGCCGTGGCCACCGCCCACCCACAGAGTACGCTGCAGCACTATGTGTGTGTGTGTGTGTGTCTGTGTGTCTGTGTGTCTGTGTGTGTCTGTGTGTCTGTCTGTCTGTTTGTCTGTCGGTATGTGACATGTCCTTGACAAACATCATCTCCTCAATTCGATGGGTTTTCATGTGTGCGTGTGTGTGTGTGTGTTGTTCAGTTCGTCTGTATGAGACGAAGATGTGGAAGTGCTTCACTCTTCCCGAGGAGAGCCAGCACACTGCCCCCGTCACTGCGGTACGCTGAAACGAACGCACACACACACACACACACTGATAGACGGACACACACACACACACACACACACACACACACACACACACACACACACACACACACACACACACACACACACACACACCACACCACACACATGCACATACATCCCTCCCACCCAGGCAAGCCGATGGTGCGCTACCACCCGCACGCGTACTCGATTGAGGCGCCCAGCGGCGCGGCTTGCGACGTGCTGCAAGGCCGGGGTGGTGAAGGTGTGGGACGTGGTCACGTCCACGTGCGTTCTCTCCTTGGAGGATGTCTTTGATGGCGCCGCCGGCCAATCCCTGCATGTACGCCGCGGGGTTGTGTGTGGTGTGGTGGTGTGGTGTGGTGACGGCGGGAGCTGACCGTATCGTGCGGTTCTGGGCGCTCCCACAGCACAAGCAGGAGCAGGAGGAGGAGGTGGTGGACGTGCAGGTGAAGGGGGGTGATGTGAAGGAGGAAGAAGGGAGAGAAGAAGGAAAGGATGAAGAAGGAACGGATGAAGGGGGGAAGCAACAGGAACACGTGAAGCAAGAGCAAGTCAAGCAAGAGACAGGGAAGCAACAGGAACACGTGAAGCAAGAGGCGAAGGACGGAGAGCAAGGTGGGCCGACGAAGCAAGAGGAAGGCAACAATGCATCCTCAGAGGCAACGGGGAGTGGCGAGGAAGAGCCACAGTCAACTGCAATGGACACAGCGCCAGAAGCGCCCCCAGCAGCAGCATCCTCCTGAAGCCACTGCGCGCCGCTGCTGCTGCTATTGCTTTGTCGTCGACATGCATGCACGTCAGTGCTTGCTTTGTTTTGCCTCGCGTCTGCTAGGAATAAACTGCTCTCACGTGGCACTTCAGTCACACACACACACACACGCGCGCGCGCGACATCTGAAGCAGTCCATTCCGTACCCCCCTCCCATCTCCAATTTGATTCCTTATGTCTGTCCCTTAGATGACGCACTTGCGCCATTTGACATGAGGATGTTGTGCATTTAATGAACACAACAATCAAACCGCCGCCACCCAGAAGCGAAGCGATGGTGACACCAACTGGAAGGAAAAGACAAACGTCGACACACAAACGCGCAGCCGGAGACTGGGCAGCAGAGGGCGTGGGCTTGACTTGTGGTTATCGTTTACCTCCTCTTCTTCTTGTGGGGGCGGTTGCGGGACACGTTCTTGGGCTTGCCCGTGTTCAGCACACCGTCGTACTGGAAACAAGAGCGAGAGCGAGAGCGAGTTGCGGCACAGAGCGAAAGGGACGGCGAGTGAGAACGAGAACGACGTGCAAGGCATGCAAAAAATAAAGCACACAGCACTACACACGCAAAGATGTAAAGCAACCCAGTACATATCCCAAACACATGCACACACACGGGGTACGCAAATGAAATAAGCATCTACGCACCTTCTGCTGGAACCACTTCATGGTCTCATCGCGGGAGTTACGGTGGGGAGCACCAACGCGTGCCTGCTTGCGCTTGCGACGACTGCACACAAGAACGAGACATTGCGGTGAGCGCAGTGTAATGGAAAGCGTCGTGTGGCTGCGGTATCGCGAGAACGGACACGCTCCGCTGACACCGTGGGCGGGCGAACAACTATTCTGCTGCGTTCAACGAGCTGCGCACCACACTGACACACAATACACCGACAAGCACAAACGACATGCGCAAGACCAGACGCATGCAGACACACACAGAAACGACGCAGGAGCAGTGGGATGTGTTCACTTACGCGACGCGGAAGCCCTTGCGGCCCATGACAACGTAGAAATCCAGACCGTAGATGCCGATGGATGGATCGTACTTGATGCCAAGATCAATGTGTTCGTTGATGCCAAAGCCGAAGTTGCCGCTTGTGCTGAAGCTCTCCTTGTACAGCTCGTACTCCTTGACCTTGAGGCCGCGCTCGAGAATCTCGAGGGCCTTGGGGCCACGGACGGTGCAGCAGACGGCGATCTTCTCGTTACGGCGGATGCCGAAGGTACGCACGGTGTAGCGGGCCTTGCGGAAGACGGGCTGCTGGCCGGTGAGCTGCTCAAGCACCTTGGCAGCGCGGGTAAGCCTGTCACCAGACTCACCAACGCAGATGTTGAGGCAGAGCTTCTCGAGCTTCAGCTCCTTCATGGGGTTCTCCTGTGCCATGGCGTCGGTCTCTCTGGTGTGCAAGAAAGCAAGTGGACAGACGATCGAGGGCCACACGCAGACGCAGAATGGGGTGAGCATCAGAACGCGGCTTGAGTGAAGTGCGTGATGCAGCCGTGTGGAACGCTTGTGGTGGCTTCCCACACACACACACACAGACAAACAACTGGTTCACACACATACTCTCTCTCTCTCTCTCTTCGTCATGCGTGCTGCTGTTGCTGACATCAACCACCACCAGCAAGACCTCTGGTGAACGCGTGTCATCCATCAGCTCGCCAACCCACACGTGCGCATGTGGATGTGGATGCCGTGAGTGTAGACAGTGTTGTTGCTATTGCTGGTGATGTTGCTGGTGGCGCGCGTGGGCGTGTGTGACGCAGAGATGTGAACACGCACAGACACACTGTTGGGTGTGAAGTGAGTGGCTGGTCCGCGCGTGCTCTCACTGTGGATGGTGCTGTCTCAGAGTGCACTGCGACACTCAGCATCACGTGCGTGCATGCGTGTGGTCGAGCGTGTGTGTTTACCACCACACCCACGCCTTCCCCCCCCCCCCCACACACACACATTCCACTCATGTGTCTTCCCCACTCGTGCATCCCGCATCATCGTCTCGCTGTGCCTGCCGCAGTCATGCGTGTGCACACAGCACTTGCACTACACTCACACCCGCACTCATGGCCGCACATGCACACACCACCATGGCCATCATCGCCTTCGCGTGTGGTGGGCAGCTGGCTAACCTTGGGCGAGAAGAGGAAAAAGGCACGGCACAGCCGGCGAAAAAGAAGGTGAGAAACCCACGCACATGTGCCAGAAAGCGCACCAAGCTCTGGTGGATACACCCTAAATCTACGATTCGGTTCACAAAACGAGTTGGTCGTGTTTAATTGCAGCAGAGCAGCCAGCAGTGGGCAAGTTGTTGTGTTTGTGTTTTGGGAGAGACTTGCTTGCTCGCAAAACAACAAACACCACCCACCACCAACACCAACACCACGCTTGACGTTCGCGTGCAAAAGCACCCAGTGTTGAGGGGTGGAAGACGAGGGCTGGAAGGTGGGGAGGACAGCACTACACACACCAATCAGCTCAAGCAACACACAACACAAGCAATAGAGAGCGACGCAGCAGACGTACCCCCCCCCCCACACACACACACTCTCTCTCGCACGCACACACACACACACACTCGCACGCACACAGTTGAGGCCAAGCATGCCGTCAACAACGACGGTCAAGGCGCGGTACCTTGGGCCTGTGCTGCTGAGTGGGCCGGGCGACCCGGCTTCAATGGACAACGCGGTGAAGCGGCTGAGGGCATCGGCGCAGGTGGCCCGCGCCTCCGTGCACATCAGCAACGAGAGCGTCAAGATCACAGATCGAGCAGGCAAGGACGTGCTGCTGCTAGCGGAGCGGGAAAACATCTGCTGCCATGGCATGCAGCCCAACTCCACGACCTTCCTCTGCCTGGTGGTGGACCAGAACTCCCGCTACTATTGTCACGTCATCAACATGCCCAAGTCGGAGGCGTCCAAAGCATGCCGTGCGCTGGTAGACTGTTTTGGTGGCGGGGACGGCGAGATTGTACCGTCGTGGAAGTCAAAGAACAAGAAGCGCCTCCGGCAGTCCGTCAAGCCTGGCCGTCGCAGGTCGTCCATCTCCGCAGCCCCCTCCAACGGCTTTGACGAGCACGCAACACGCTCCGTCGCCTCTCCACGTGCGTGACGCTTGTGTGTGTTGTGCTGTGCTGTGCTGTGTTGTGTTTGGTCTGTGCTGTGTTTGGTCTGGTCTGCATATGTGCGCGCACGTGTGTCATCATCATCATCATCATCATCATCATCATCATCATCACCATCATCATCATCATCATCATCATCATCATCATCATCATCATCATCATCATCATCATCATCATCATCATCATCGGATGCGTGCGCTGAGTTGAGTTTGTAATGCAACTCACACTGTGCCATCACCGTACCTTTCCTGTTTCCGCAACCTACCACAGGTGCTGTGGTTGTCTCTGCTGAACAACTCGCTCGAGGTGAAATGGCGCATGCATTTGGGGACAATGCTGCAGCGTTCGTGCAGCCGTGCTCGTGCTGTTGCCCATCTGTTGTGACCGGCCATGTCACCCCATCAACCCGCATCTGCTCACATAACAACAACAACACCACCACCCGCACCAAATGCGTCATCACACCGCTGCCTGTTCGCATCACCGCCAGAGCGAGAGACGTTCCCGCGAAAGTTTGTTGGCATGTATCTTGGTGCACAGCCTGTCGATGCCCTCTTTGGTGCGGACGTCATTCGCAAAGCTGTCGAGGAAAACGGCCAGGAGCGCCTGCGCCAACACGTGCGATGCTTGTGTGTGTGTGTGTGTGTGTGTGTGTGTGTGTGTGTGTGTGTGTCTCTGTGTGTGTGTGTATCTGTGTCGTGTGTTGTGTGTGTGTGTGTCTGTGTCGTGTGTTGTGTGTGTGTGTGTCTGTATCTGTGGCGTGTGTGGCTGTGTGCACGTGTCTGTGTTTGTATGCCACCCTGCCTCCCCCCCCCCTTCCGTGCCCGCCCGATCAGCCTCACCCCAACCCACATCCACGGCCTCTCTGCGGCGTGTTCAGATGGCCGACACAACCGCTGGCTTTGGCGATCCCGTCACCGTCATCGTCTCCACACAGAACGTCCGCACCATGGACAGAACAACAGGTGCGAAGCGTGTGTGTGTATTGTTGTTGTTGTTTAAGTTGTTGTTGTTGTTTAAGTTGTTGTTGTTGTTGTTGTTGTTGTTGTTGTTGTTGTTGTTGTTGTTGTTGTTGTTGTTGCTGTTGTTCTTGTTCTTGTTCTTGTTCTTGTTCTTGTTGTTGTGTGCGCGAGTACGTCTGTATGTGTCTGTGTAGTCTCTGTGTCCGTGTCTGTGTATCCGTGTCTGTCTGCTGTACCTGTGTCTCGACAGGTTCATCACGTTCCAACCACCCACGTTCATCTGCATGCGCGCGCGTGCGTGCGTTTCCCAGGATCGGTGATGATGTCTGAGTTCATCAAGAACATCTCGTACACGTCTGTGCTGGATTCTGTGGACGGCAATGATGTGTTTGCCTTCATCGCAGTCAACAAGCGCATTGTAAGTGTGTGTGTGTGTGTATGCATGTGTGTGTATGTGTGTGTGTGCCTGTGTATGTGTGTGTGTGTGCGCGCGTGCTCGTGCATGCGTTGGGCCGGTTGGTATGCACTGTGAATGTGGTTATCACTCTTGCTTCGTGTACGGCTTATTCTCATGGCTCCACTTGTCCATCCGCTACGAGCTAACGCCATGCATTTCCACACACACACACACACACACACACACACACACACACACACACACACACACACACACACACACACACACACACCACAACACACACACCACAACACACACACACACACCACAACACACACACCACAACACACACACACCACAACACACACGCACACATGTACCGATCCACCCGTCCGCCCTCACTCCCATTCACCGTTCAGGGCGGCATCCACTGCCACATCTACCACGTGCCGCGCGGGCAGGGCCAGCTCGCGTACATGGCTGTCGAGACGGCGTTTAAACTCCTCGCCGCAGACGAAAAGTGCGATACACCTCTGCTGTTGTTCTTGCTGCTGCTCTCGTGTGTGTGTGTGTGTGTGTGTGTGTGTGTGTGTGTGTGTGTGTGTGTGTGTGTGTGAGAGAGAGGTGTGTGTGTGTGTGTGTGTGTGTGTGAGGTGTGGGGTGTGCGTGCATGCTCACCATCGCATCATTGCCATCGTCACCACCACGACTACAGGGCGATTGGCGACAATCCGTTTGCGGTGACGGACCCAAAGCGCGAGCCAGCACCAGCCATCCTCTTCAAGCACCAGATTCACAGGGCCGACCTCAAGTGAGCACACAGAGAGGGATGGGGGTGGTGTTGATACCGCGTGTATGTGTGTGTGTATGTGTATGTGTATGTGTATGTGTATGTGTGTGTGAAGTTGTTTCCTCGCTGTCGCCTGTCACTGCTCACTGTACGTTCATTTTAAGCCTTCGGGCCGACCACAGCCATCACCACCGCTCTCATCCTCACGTCATCGTCGTCACCACCACCATTGCTGCGTCGCGTGCAGGGCATTGCAACAGATTGGGGCTGGCCAGTTTGGTGCCGTCTACACGGCGTACCAATACACGCGCGTACGTGCTCCCAACACGCTGGTGGCAGCGAGTGGCATGCGTTGTGCTCGCGCCTCGCGTTTGTCTACACGTTGCTGTACCACTGGCTGACTGAACCACGTACATATGTACACACCCACCCAACACCCAATCTATCTTATCCTTTCACACACACACACACACACACACACACACACACACACACACACACACACACACACACACACACACACACACACACACACACACACACAAGCAAAGAGTTGCCCATCACCAAGCAATGGTTGAGCGAAGGAGCCGTCCTGCCGCTTCTGGTGAATGCGGTTTGTGGATGAGCGCAATGTTAAATGCGCATTCTGCACGCAAGTTCGTTGGGTCTGGCTCGCTCGATGGGTCACGGAGGTTCGCGAGACAGCGCTCAATCAACACTGTGAGGGGATGGGATGCGTATTTCGCTTCGGAGCACACGTTGAATGGGCCCTTGATGCCGTGCTTCTCCTAAACGAGGGAAGGGGGTGGGGAGTGAGGAACAAGTCGGGAGCCTGTTGTATTTGCATCTGTATCTGTGTGTGTGTGTGTGTGTGTGTGCGTGTGTGTGTGTATGTGTGTGTGTGTGTGCGTGTGTGGCCATACCTTCTCGTACTCGTCGCGATGGGTGTCGAGAACGCTCGGGAGTGCGAGAGCGCGGCGGTAAGCGGGAACGGCCAAGTGGTTCACACCCCAAAACTGGTATTCAAACACATGAACACACGCATACATACATGCACAAAGTCGGATGTGAGCATGAAAGCAAGGTGATGGTGCGTGCAATACCTAGGAACATGTGCCTGTCTGTGTGTCGGTCGATTTTGCTCACTCCAATTCTGTGCCCTCTTCCCCTTCGTACGTGATAAAGACGCGCGAGGTTGTACGCTGCCTCCTGTGACGCCGCAACTCCGCCCCGCAGCTCGGCATAGTCGTTGAACAGCACCAGCGCCTGACAGGAAAACACACGCACATGCATGAACAAGCAGTGGCATGGTGAATGCATACATGTGTGTGTCTGTGTGTGTGTCTGTGTCTGTGTGTCTGTGTCTGTGTGTATGTATGTTTGCATATGTTCCTTTCTGTGGAGTGTGGACGTACAAATTCTTCTCTCTCGCTCGCTGTGCATGTGTGAATGCTGGTTGTACCCTGATGAGCGGGGGTCGGCGGTACGGGCAGGAGCGCTGTGTTGTGCGACGCAGGCACGCAATGGAATGCGTCAAGTGCGCCAGTGCGCGATCATCCTTGTTGTCCGCCATCTTTGCACTCCACGAAGACCTGCGCACACACACACACACACGCGTGCAAATGAAGGGAATGAACGATTGTATAGTTCACACACACGCACACACGCACACCCCAACCTTCACACACGCACACACGCACACACGCACACGCACACACACGCACGCACACACATACACACGACATCACACATGTGTGCTGTGCGCTCACCCAAACGCAGCGTAGTTGTATGTGGAGGACATGAGGCTGTGGTTGGCCTGCGCCTGGAAGGGGGACGGGCACTTTGGGGCCTCACGAAGACGACGCAACACAAAGCGGTTGGCATGCAAGGCCTCGTGTGTCTGGAAGAAGAGTGGATAGAGCGCTGCCCACAGGCGGTTTGCATCCGAGTGGGCGAGCACGTTGGCGCGGCCAATGAGATAGGCCGCGTCGTAGCACCCGGCACCGAGCAGCGCCAGCGTCTGGTGGGGGTGGCGATTGTTGTTGTGGTTTGCAATGTGAAGGTGGTTTGCAATGTGAATATGAGGGTGAGAATTGATGGTGGTTTGCAATGTGAATATGAGGGTGAGAATTGATGGTGGTTTGCAATGTGAATATGAGGGTGAGAATTGATGGTGGTTGTGAACACAAAAGTGCCGATGATGGTGGTGATCAAAGTGGCAAAGGATGCAAAGCATGGGAGGACGTTACATCACACGCGCACACGACATGAGCAAGCAGCACACACGGCAAGGACAAACTGCCTGCACAAGAGAGTGCGTATGTGTATGTGTGCGTGTGTATGTGTGTGTGCATGTGCATGTGCATATGTGCATGTGAATACCTCGAGGTAGAGGATGACTGGCTTCTTCTCTCCCCAGCGGCCAATGTGGATGAGACGGCGCAGCATGCACGCGGCCTCGTACCCGCGCCTTCTGTTCACCATCGCCTCGCTCACGCGGATGAACATCTCAAACCTGGGGCGTGCACGGGGTAGTGGAGATGGCATTCACGGACACGTCGTTGCGGTGAGCGTTGACATGACAGCACATACAGGAAGGAGCTGGTACAAAGGCACACGTAATTAGACACATACATACGACCGCGCACACACACACATGCACAAACGCGCGCGCACACACGAACACAAACGCATACACACATGAACGCAATAATCAAGAACGCACGCACCATTCGTCGATGGAGAGCGACTTTGGGTTGAAGACCCGCAAGTGTTCACCATCGGGACGTGTGTCGTCCCTGTCGTACACGAGCCAGCTGTTGCCCGTCTCCCCAGACACCGCGCCACGCACAGCCCTGAACGCATTGTCGTGGTGAGCGCACGCGGGGGTGATGGCAACATGCCGTGATCGTGCGCGTTGGAGGGACGTGACGTTAATAACGCAGGTCGGTCACGGGTGATGGTGCAGCATCAGCAGGAGCAACAGGAGGGGACGATGTGGTCGTGTGTCTCCATGCAAACAACGAAAGCACGACCCATCGTGTTGGCACGCAAAGGTAGATGAACTCACTCCCACTGCCAATCGACTTTTGCAGCGTCAATGACAAACTGGCGACACACGTCCGGGCGGAACGGCCGCAGAAACGTCTGCACACACGCACACACGCATGCACACAAGCGTGAACATTGGATCATGTGAGCGAAACTCCGCCGATCGTCATATGCGGTGTGCATGTCCTTGCAGGTGTGTTTCTGGGCTTGTCCATGTGTGTCTGTGTGTGTGTGTGTGTGCTTGCTGTGGTTGTGTCCGTCTTCCTGACCGGCTGAAGTTGGGACTGGAGGAAGAAGAGGCAGGGCCGATATGCGGTGCTGATGACGGCATCCAAATCGCGCTTCCCAAACAGCTGACGTATCCGCTGATGGTGGTGGGTGTCGCCGTGGCGAACACGATGGTGGCCGTGTACATGAGGAGTGGTGCGATGGGAGCCGTGGTGGTGACGGGCGAAGATGAGCAAGAAACAAACGAGGCGGTGATGTGCATATGTGTGTGTGGGGGGTGTTGTTGTGCGTGGATGTATGTGTATGAACGTGAGTCGTAGTCGACGCGTGGGCGAGAAACCAAGAAGTAATGACACGTGCAAATTTGCATGGCTTACAATCAGGTCTCCGCGAAGAGAAACGGCAGTCAGCGTGCGCTGCGATGTCGTTGCCTGCAAGCAAAAACCAAGTGGAGAGCCAGTCAAACGTGCGTAAGTCCAAAGCCGATGCACACACTCTTTCTCGCACAACCCAAAACCATTTCCATCCGCCTTTTTGAGACAGACACACAAATACACACACAAGCACAAGCACACACACACACGAGAACGACATGGAAACAACAGCAAACGAACCGCGTGCATGTGTTTTGCCCTTGAGCCGTCCGCAACACCATGATCTTTCAGCTGCTGCTCTGTTGGGATGGAGTTGTTGCTGTCACCGCACATGATGCAAGATTATGGACCAGGGCGTGCATTTCGTCCGAGTGGTACACGTTGTTCTGGCTGTGAACCATGTGATCTTCGCTCACGCATGCATGTATGTGCATATGTATGTGCATATGTGCGTGCGTGCGTGCATGTGTGCGTGCGTGCGTGCGTGCATGTGTGCAGAAGTGAAGATGGCAGACCTGATGATGGTGAGAGTCTTCTTGGATCGTTTCTTCTTCGATGTCCGCTGCTGCCGCTGCTGCGATTGCGGCAATGGAACACCAGCCTGACATCAAACAAATGCGAGCACATACACAAACACGCCAAGGTGGTGATCGTGAGGATGAAGAACAGAACCAGCATTCACATGCATATGTATGATCATCGCATGTACACGGTTGTGTGTGCATGTGTGCGTGCATGTGTGTGCATGTGTGCGTGCATGTGTGTGCATGTGTGTGTGTGCATGTGTGTGTGTGCGTGAACGAGGGCAGGGCACCTCTCTCCTCACCTCTCGGCAGATTTCCCGCTGCAGCCGAAGGGCCTCCTTGTGCATCGGTACAACCTGAGGGCGACCAGGCATGGTGGGAAGGTGTGATGGGCAGTGGTGACGAGGATGAGGGTGGAGCAGTGGCACGTCATGCACACATTTGTATGCGCATGCAGCAAACACATCACATCACACAATCCACACATACACGTACGCACGCTCTGACACACATACATGAACACACGCTCTTTCACACATACACATCACATGCACGCGCCAAGTTTGCGCGGGCATCACCTTGAGAACATGATCGATGTGTTCACGGGCGGTCTCGTATTCGTGCAGTCCTTTGTAGCACCGAGACATGAGCACCCACAGCGCCGGCTTGTCCCACTTCTCACACCGCCGC